GAGGTGACCAGACTCGGTGGGTCATTTGGTTAATCCCGGGGGGAGGGGAGGGCCTGCTCTGCATGGTCAGTAGGCCTGTTGCAGTGTTCCTTCATTCTTATGTTCCTATGTTCTTACTTGTGGTTGGGGATTTCAATGCTACAGTGGTAAAAATGTTGTGGAGGGAGTAGTTAGGTAAATTTTGGGGTGCCAGGGGAAAATGAAAATGGGGAGCTTTTAATTGAGCTATATATAGAAAGAAGTTTGGTAATAAGAATACATATTTTATGAAAAAGAGGATAAATAAATATACAAGGTATGATATAGCACATAATGAAAGTAGTTTGTTAGATTATGTATGGTGTATAAAGAGGTTGAAGGGTAGGCTCCAGGATGTACATATTTATAGAGGGGGCAACTGATATATCGGATCATTATTTAGTTGTAGTTACAGTTTAAAGTAAGAGGTAGATGGGACAAGAGGAAAATGGCAACAAGAAGTAAGAGGGGTGAAAGTGTATAAACTAAGGGAGGAGGAAGTTCGGGTTAGATTTTTTTTTTTTATTATTATCACACCGGCCGATTCCACCAAGGCAGGGTGGCCGAAAAAAGAAAAAATTTCACCATCATTCACTCCATCACTGTCTTGCCAGAAGGGTGCTTTACACTACAGTTTTTGAACTGCAACATTAACACCCCTCCTTCAGAGTGCAGGCACTGTACTTCCCATCTCCAGGACTCAAGTCCGGCCTGCCGGTTTCCCTGAAACCCCTTCATAAATGTTACTTTGCTCACACTCCAACAGCACGTCAAGTATTAAAAACCATTTGTCTCCATTCGCTCCTATCAAACACGCTCACGCATGCCTGCTGGAAGTCCAAGCCCCTCGTACACAAAACCTCCTTTACCCCCTCCCCCCAACCTTTCCTAGGCCGACCCCTACCCCGCCTTCCTTCCACTACAGACTGATACACTCTTGAAGTCACTCTGTTTCGCTTCATTCTCTCTACATGTCCGAACCACCTCAACAACTCTTCCTCACCCCTCTGGACAACAGTTTTGGTAATCTCGCACCTCCTCCTAACTCCAAAACTACGATTCTCTGCATTATATTCACACCACATATTGCCCTCAGACATGACATCTCCACTGCCTCCAGCCTTCTCCTCGCTGCAACATTCATCACCCATGCTTCACACCCATATAAGAGCGTTGGTTAAAACTATACTCTCATACATTCCCCTCTTTGCCTCCAAGGACAATGTTCTTTGTCTCCACAGACTCCTAAGTGCACCACTCACCCTTTTCCCCTCATCAATTCTATGATTCACCTCATCTTTCATAGACCCATCCGCTGACACGTCCACTCCCAAATATCCGAATACATTCACCTCCTCCATACTCTCTCCCTCCAATCTGATATCCAATCTTTCCCTCTTTCCTACATACTCTAACTTGAGCCTCACTATCCTCGTAAAAATTCTTCACTGCTTTCAGTAACCTACCTCCTACACCATACACCTGCAACATCTGCCACATTGCCCCCCTATCCACCCTGTCATACGCCTTTTCCAAATCCATAAATGCCACAAAGACCTCTTTAGCCTTATCTAAATACTGTTCACTTATATGTTTCACTGAAAAACACTGGTCCACACACCCCTACCTTTCCTAAAGCCTCCTTGTTCATCTGCTATCCTATTCTCCGTCTTACTCTTAATTCTTTCAATAATAACTCTACCATACACTTTACCAGGTATACTCAACAGACTTATCCCCTATAATTTTTGCACTCTCTTTTGTCCCCTTTGCCTTTATACAAAGGAACTATGCATGCTCTCTGCCAATCCCTATGTACCTTACCCTCTTCCATACATTTATTAAATAATTGCACCAACCACTCCAAAACTATATCCCCACCTGCTTTTAACATTTCTATCTTTATCCCATCAATCCCGGCTGCCTTACCCCCTTTCATTTTACCTACTGCCTCACCAAACTTCCCCCACACTCCCCAAACTGGCTCTTCCTCACCCCTACAAGATGTTATTCCTCCTTGCCCTATACACGAAATCAAAGCTTCCCTATCTTCATCAACATTTAACAATTCCTCAAAATATTCCCTCCATCTTCCCAATACCTCTAACTCTCCATTTAATAACTCTCCTCTCCTATTTTTAACTGGCAAATCCATTTGTTCTCTAGGCTTCCTTAACCTGTTAATCTCACTCCAAAACTTTTTCTCGTTTTCAACAAAATTTGTTGATAACATCTCACCCACTCTCTCATTTGCTCTCTTTTTACATTGTTTCACCACTCTCTTAACCTCCCTCTTTTTCTCCATATACTCTTCCCTCCTTGCATCACTTCTACTTTGTAACTATTGGCAGAAAGGTGAGCTAGTGCAAGTATGAGAAGTGGGGGGGGTTGAAGAGGGTTGGAATAGTTAAAAAAATGCAGTAACAGAATGTGGGGCAGAAGTTTATGGTTATAGGAGGGTGGGTGCAGGAGGAAAGAGGAGTGATTGTTGGATTGATGAAGTAAAGGGTGTGATAAAAGAGAAAAAGGAAGTGTATGAGAGGTTTTTACAAAGCAGAAGTGTTATAAAAAGAGCAGAGTATATGGAGAGTAAAAGAAAGGTGAAGAGAGTGGTGAGGGAGTGCAAAGAAAGAGCAGATGACAGAGTCGGAGAGGCACTGTCAAGAAATTTTCATGAAAATAAGAAAAAATTTTGGAGCGAGTTAAACAAGTTAAGAAAGCCTAGGGAACGAATGGATATGCCAGTTAAAAACAGAATAGGGGGAGTTAGTACATGAGGAGATGGAGTTATTGGGCAGATGGCGGGAATATTTTGAGGAACTTTTAAATGTTGACAAAGAAAGGGAGGCGGTAATTTCATGCATTGGCCAGGGAGGTATACCATCTTTTAGGAGTGAAGAAGAGCAGGATGCAAGTGTGGGGGAGGTGTGTGAGGCATTATGTAGAATGAAAGGGGGTAAAGCAGCTGGAATGGACGGGATCATGACAAATATTAAAAGCAGGGGGGGATATAGTGTTAGAGTGGTTGGTATTTTTGTTTATTAAATGTATGAAAGAGGGGCAGGTACCTAGGGATTGGCAGAGAGCATGTATAGTTCCTTTATATAAAAGGAAGGGGGGTCAAAAGATTGTAAAAATTATAGAGGAATTAGTTTACTGAGTATACCAGGAGAAGTGTACGGTAGGGTTATTATTGAAAGAATTAGAGGCAAGACAGAATGTAGGATTGCGGATGAGCAAGGAAGTTTTCGAGTGGGTAGGGGATGTGTAGATCAAGTGTTTACATTGAAGCATATATGTGAACAGTATTTAGAAAAAAGTAGGGAAGTTTTCATTGCATTTATGAATTTAGAAAAGGCATATGATAGAGTGGATAGGGGAGCAACATGACAAATGTTGCAAGTATATGGAATAGGTAGTAAGTTACTAAATGCTGTAAAGTTTTTTTATGAGAACAGTGAGGCTCAGGTTAGGGTGTGTAGAAGAGAGGGAGATTACTTCCCAGTAAAATTAGGTCTTAGACAGGGATGTGTAATGTCACTATGGTTCTTTAATATATTTATAGATGGGGTTGTAAAAGAGGTAAATGCTAGGGTGTTTGGGAGAGGGGTGGGATTAAATTATGGGGAATCAAATATAAAATGGGAATTGACACTTTTCGTTGATGATACTGTGCTTATGGGAGATTCTAAAGAAAAATTGCAAAGGTTAGTGGACGAGTTTGGGAGTGTGTGTAAAGGTAGAAAGTTGAAAGTGAAAACGTGGAAAAGAGTAAGGTGATGAGGGTATCAAATGATTTAGATAACGAAAAATTGGATATCAAATTGGAGAGGAGTAGTATGGAAAAAGTGAATGTTTTCAGATATTTGGGAGTTGACGTGTCAGCGGATGGATTTATGAAGGATGAGGTTAATCATAGAACTGATGAAGGAAAAAAGGCGAGTGGTGCGTTGAGGTATATGTGGAGACAAAGAAGGGAATGTATGAAAGTATAGTGGTACCAACACTCTTATATGGGTGTGAAGCTTGGGTTGTAAATGCTGCAGTGAGGAGATGGTTGGAGGCAGTGAAGATGTCCTGTCTAAGGGCAATGTGTAGTGTAAATATTATGCAGAAAATCTGGAGTGTGGAAATTAGGAGAAGGTGTGGAATTAATAAAAGTATTAGTCAGGGGGCTGAAGAGGGGTTGTTGAGGTGGTTTGGTAATTTAGAGAGAATGGGTCAAAGTAAAATGACATGGAGAGCGTATAAATCTGTAGGGGAAGGAAGGAGGGGTAGGTTAGAGGGAGGGGGTAAAGGAGGTTTTGTGGGCGAGTAGCCTGGACTTCCAGCAAGCGTGCGTGAGCGTGTTAGATAGGAGTGAATTGAGACGAATGGTATTTGGGACCTGACGAGCTGTTGGAGTGTGAGCAGGGTAATATTTAGTGAAGGGATTCAGAGAAACCGGTTATTTTTATATAGCTGGACTTGAGTCCTGGAAATGGGAAGTACAATGCCTGCACTTTAAAGGAGGGGTTTGGGATATTGGTAGTTTGGAGGGATATGTTGTGTATCTTTACACGTATATGCTTCTAAACTGTTGTAATCTGAGCACCTCTGCAAAAGCGGTGATTAGGTGAGTGTATGTATATGTATAGGAAAGGAGTCACATGGTTTTTGGGACATGATGAACTGTTGGAGTGTGAGCAAGGTAATATTTTGTGAGGGATTCAGGAACACCAGTTAGTTGGATTCAAGCCCTGGAGGTGGGAAATACAGTGCCTGTGCTCTAAAGGAAGGGTTTGGGATATGTGAGGTTTGGAGGGATATCTGAACTGTCATATCTGCACACCTTGGGGAAGACAGTGATAGTATGAATGTGAAAGTGTTTCTTTTTTGGATCACCCTGCCTTGGTGGGAGACAGTCAGTGTTAAAAAAAAAAATATTGTATTACTGGTAAAATAATGATGTTTGTCAATAATATTTACTGACTATTCCCTACCCTCTTTTTCAAGTCCTTTAACAGGACTGAAAGAAAACAGTGACCTTGGGTTGATGAGCTCCCAAGCTTGAGAAAGTCCTGAGGCAACTGATGCCCTCCTTTTTGTCTGGAAATACAGTAAAAAATGCATTAGCAGTTGCACCAACTTAAATAATATTAATTTATTAAAAAAAAATAATATAGTACTGAAGTTTAAAAGTATGTTATTGCACAATAATTTTACTGTGCTCTAAATTTATTTGGAATATACCATCTCTGTTCACAATTCATCTCTTAATACAGCAGGGCCCCACTTTATGTCATTCCGCTAATATGGTGTTTTCAAATTATGACCAAAACTCAAAATATGGGAACCAGTCTTTCTAATATGGCACCCCCCCCCCACCTGGTTTGTTTACATTCTCCATAAGCACATCTCTCTATTATGTCTTTAAACTTTCCAAAATTTCAAGTGTTTTAAAGTTATTGCATATTTTATATGTACTCTGATAATAATAAATATTTCATTTATTTATGTAACCCTTTCAGGGTTGGTGCCGTAGTGGTACGTCTTATGCGCCACGGTTGGTGTCGTACTAGTACGTATAAATTCTAGAGCTTTCAAATCAAGCAGGAAAAGGCTGGTAGGCCTAGATGTGAAAGAATGGGTCTGCATGGTCAATGTGTGCAGTATAAAAAAAATCCTGCAGCACACAGTGCATAATAAGAAAAAAAAAGAACTCCGACGGTATTTTTGGGGTTTAAAAAAAAACCCCTTTGGTGTATATATATCCGTCGAAAGACCCCACCATTTTTAAAGTATATTATTTCAAATTCTAGGGGCCCTTTTAAAATTAAAGCGGGAAAAGAAAGTGGTGGGCCCCTTTAATGTGAAAGAATGGTCTGTGGGGGCGGTTGTGCACCATTTTAAAAAAAATCCTGCGCACCAGGAAAAAATGGGGAAAAAAAAAAAAAAAACTCAAAAACCCTTTTTTTTTTTAATTAAAAAAAGGGCCAAATTTTGGGGTTTTTTTTCTAAAGTATTTAGGTTTTTTCCCCGTTTTCGGGTTTCTTTTTGTTTAAAATTTGGGAAAAACATATTATAAAATTAGAGGTGTTTTTTGATTGGTTTTTACAGGAACCTTAAAAATGGAGCTCATTAGGGGAAAAATTTGTTTGTTTTTTTTGCTATGTTAAAGTAAACAAAGGGGATGCTTTTTCCCCAATAAATGCCAAAATTACCTTTTCAAATTTATGCATCAGGGAAGGGGGTTGGGAACTTTAATTTATACAATTATTAAAAATTATTGCGTAGTCTGCAAAAACAGAAAAATTTCTATTTTTTTTTTGAAAAAAAAATTCAAAATAGAAAAAAGGGGAGAAATTATAAAGGGGGGCCCCTTTGGAAAATGTACTGATAAAAAAGGGGAAAAGGGAACATTTTAGACCCCGGAATGTCCCCATTGTTCATTCGGGAACCCTATTTTGAAATTGCCCTTTTTTTTAAATTTTTCGTAAAAATTCCCAAATTGCAAATTTCGGACCAAAATTATTGGGTAGTTAAAATCAGTAAATGGGCATTTCTGTACGCAATGGGATAGAAAAAAATGGAGGTCAAAAGAAAAAAGCTATTATTTTGGTCGCCTGGAAAAAAAGGGGAATTAGCCAAAAATAGGGCTCAAAGTGGGCAAAATTTCGCCGTTTTCAAAAAATTTTGCCACGGTCGCAAAACTTCGCGAGAGGGTAATTCCATCAGTTTTTCTATAAAAATTTTTGTTCTTTTGGGGTCATTTAATTTGGGAAAAAAAAGGATTTTTAAATCATTTCAAAAGGGAAAACAAAATTTTTTTTGGGGAAATTTTGAAACACCGGGGAGACCCCCCTCGGGAATTTTGTTTTTGCGACATTGGGGGGAAAAAAAACAGGACTTTGCAGTCTATTTTCAAAAGGGTATTTTGGTTGTTTTCTCGCTTTCTTTGGTCTAAATTTGATAGAAGGGAAAGTTTTTATTCCCAAAAAAATAGAGTTTAATTTTTGGGTTTGGGGTTTAATGATGAAAAGGGTACATGTCCTTCAAAAATTTGAGCCCCCAAAAGTTAAAAAAAAAGGGTTTAAATTTTTTTTCCCGATGTTCAAGAGTAAAAAAATCGCACCACATGCCCAATACACATAAAAGGTGATTTTAAACCCCTTTTGAGGGTTTTCCCGGCCGTACTAAAAGGGCTTGGGCCCGGGGTTTTTTACTTTACTATTACCCCCAAATTTTTCTACCCGCCCTCAAATTTCTGGGGGAAAAAGCTGGTGGGCCTACATATAAAAGAATGGGTCAAACGGGGTTTCAGTGTCACAGTAAAAAAAAAATCCGCACCCACACAGTGGGGGGAAAAAAAAAAAAAACAAGGGCCCTTTTTTTTGGGAATAAAACAGCAAACTTTGCACTGTATTTTTTTTATGGTAATTTTTTGTTGTATTCTTTGTTTTCTTGGTTTTTATTTTATAGAATTTTGGGAAAACATATTACCCGAAATTTAGATGAAATTTTTACTTGGGGTTTAAAAATGGAAAAAAATACCGTGAAATTTAGCTCAAAGGACGAAATTTTCGATTTTTTACCAAAGTTCAAAAAATAAACAAATCAAAAGCCCAAAAACGGCTAATTTCATGGCAACTGGTGAGTTAATATTTTTTTTCGCAAGTGCACCAATATTATTTTTAAAAAACCCATTTTTTTCCCCTAATCAGTAGTCCCCGTTTAAAAAGAAATCTTCTAAATTTTTTTTGGAATAAAAATTCAAAATGGAAAGCCCCAAAAAAATGTAAGAAGGGGCCCTCAGGGCGTGGGTAATGAACAGAGGAAAAGTCATTTTAGTGCCAGGGAAAGTCTTTTTTGTTTTTTTCTGGGCCCCCATTTGGGGAAAATTTGGATCTTTTTAAATTTTGTGAAATTGGCAAAAAAGGGTAAAAATTTTGACCACTTTTTTTGGTAGTTGAAATCGGTAAAGGGTGGGTTTTTTCCAAATCATTCATAGAAAAAAAGGGAGTTTTTTAGGGGAAAAAAATTTTTGTTTTTTTGTTGACTAACCCGTGGAATTGGGGCCAAAAAAAAGGGGCTCAAAGTGGGCAAAACGCCGATTTCTAAAAAAACGCCAGGACCGCTAACTTCCGGGGGAGCATAAATTCCCCGGGAAAATTTTTTCCCTCAAATTTTTTATACTTTTTTGGGGTCTTTACGGGAAAAGATTCTCTATTCCCTTTTTAAAAAGAAATTTTTTTTTTTTTTTAAAAATTTTGGGCCGGGGCCCGGGGAATGATCTCGGGGAAAAAGGGCCCCGTCACCCCTCAAAGGGTTAATAATTTTTTGCACAAATTGGGGGTAAATTTTTTTAAAACCATTTTTCCCAAAGAGCAGTAGTACAAAAAACAGTAAATCTTTATTTTGTGGGGGCCCGGAAGCAGAAATTTTCCGGGAAAAGAAAAAAAGTTATTTTAGTTTCCCGGAACGTCGTCTTGTTTATTTTGGGGGCCCTAATTTTTAAAATTTCCCTCTTTTTGGGAAATTTTTTGTGAAAAATTTGGCCCAAAATTTTCCAGTTTTTTGGGTTTTTTGAAAATTTAGTTAAAAGGGCCCTTTCTTGTGGGTCAAACAATAAACCCAAAAAGGAATTCTGCCCAAAAAAACTATGATTTTAGTAGATTTGGGGGCATTGGAATTGGCCAAAAAAACCCCTCAAAATGGGGGGGAAATCGCTGATGGAAAATCGTCGATATCGCTAACTTTGGGAGAGGGATAATTCCCTAAGTTTTTTCCTTTAAATTTTCCCTAAAATTTTGGCATCCTTATGATCGAAAAAAAATTCTCTATTTATTTTTTATAAAAAAAAAATATTTTTTTTTTTCTTTTCGAAAAATTTTTCAAAACCCCGAGCGGGGGGGTTAACGCCAACCCTTTGGAGGTTTGACCCGGCCCCCTCCCAAAAAATGGTTTTTCAGGGTCAAAAAAAAAAAAAAAAAAAAAAAAAATGAATTTTTGAGCATTTTTGTGAGTGTTATAGGCCCCCCAAAAAAAAAGTCCCTAAAACTTAAACCCAGATATGGATGTGAAGTTGACAAAGCGAGCTACTTTTTGGGGAACTTTGCCCCCTTTCCAGTCCCCAGTAATAGTTTTTTTTATTTTTTCTACTCTTATTTTTTTCAATTTTATTTTTACAAGTAACTTTTAGGGCCCAATGAGACCATTATGAGCCATATTTTGATATACACTCATTGTATACTACACAGTAATTGCACAAACAGTGAAAAAGTGAACATTTTCACCTACACTATTTCAGTCACACAGTACTGTCTAGAAATATATACATAGTATTTATAGATCCCAGCAATGTTTTGGGGAGTATTTATAGGCCCCAGCAATTTTTTGGGTGGCAAAGGGAGCTTGGGTTTATGTAAACAACATGGCTGGTTTGGCAGCTGGCTGGCTGGCTCTGTCTCTGTCTCACAGGTACACAAATACAATTATACAATGTGTAAATTACCTAAAATACACAGGAGAATATAATAATAATAATAATAATAATAATTTAAATGAAGCATGGTGTAAGACTTGTGTGTCACTCCTCTTATCTTATCACTCCCCAAAAATGACAGTGGTGACATCTGATGAGGGTACACTGCCTTTGCTTTACTTGTTTTCACTTTACACAAATATGTTTTGCTTGCCTCTGTTTTTCTGTCTCAGAGAGAGCCACCAGTGAACCAACACGATACTATTATTTACCAGTCTGGATTTTCTGGGTTATCCCAGGTAATTTTCATACGTTAATTGACAGTTTGGAGGGGATATGTTGTTATCTTTATACGTATATGCTTCTAAGCTGCTGTGTTCTGAGCACCTCTGCAAAAAACAGTGATTATGTGTGAGTGAGGTGAAAGAGTTGAATGATGATGAAAGTATTTTCTTTTGGGGATTTTCTTTCTCTTTGGGTCACCCTGCCTCGGTGGGAGATGGCCGACTTGTTAAAAAAAAAAAATTGTATTTATGTGTACCTGTGAAACAGACAGACAGACAGACAGACAGACAGACAGACAGACAGACAGGGCAGACAGACAGACAGACAGCCAGCCAGCCA